CTAATCCTTACCCCGGCCCTAAACCGTAACCCCTAACCCCTAACCCTCACCCGTGCCCTGACCCTAACCCCTTCCTCAGCCGTAACCCTTAACCCCGAATGCCTTCATTCAGTGCCGGAGGCAGGAGGAAACAGAGAGGAGAGAGCAGGAAAGGCATCACCGATCGAGGCCTTACACAGCAAGCTTAGAAAAGACATGCCACGCCTTATCCCCAACGGCGCCAAATTGTGCTCGCATAGCGCGCGTTCCTCTGTTAACGCAACTGGTTCCAATGATTTGTGTTGTGCGTATGCGCGTTGCTTGAGTATCGAAACTGTAGCGTGAACCACAGTCCTGGTTGCACCTTCGATGAAGGACAACCTGTGGCTTTCATATCATCGAGTCATCTCGTGTTTAACGAGCATTAACGCCTTCAGTCTTCAAGGTGTCTCCATGGAGTACTTCTGGACGGCATAGGATATGGACAGTTCTGTATCAAAAGCACCCCGTAATATTTTGAAGTTGTTTCCGCTCGGGCGGGTCTTTTCCAAGATATGCATGCTGTCTTCTTCCGCTTCGGACAACCCTGATTTCGGGCGCCGCAGGAGTGCAAAGCAGACAGACAGTACTGACATGCGTCCAGCATTCCAGAGTTGTTGCGAAATCCAGTGCGCATCCTCCAACAATCGAGGTCGCCAGCGAAGACGCGCGCTTTGAACCCAGAGTCGGCGATGGAGCGGCCATCCTCAGCGTAGTACGCGATCCAGAGAGGAGGTCCGAACACAGTACCCTGAACTACCATGTTCTCCAGCGGGAAAGATTCAGACAAGACGCCATCGACGCAGACCTTGGCAGTGCGAGGCTCGAGCCGGGTAATCAATGCGATGTCAGGGCGACAATAATGTCCTCCCTGAGCTGTTTGCCTTTTCCCTAGGGGATTCGATGCGTCTCCTCGGGCCCAGATGACAGGTAACCCCTGTTTATTTTGATTTTATGCACTGATCACCTTCGCGAAGTCATCTGAGATGCCAGCGGCGCGGAGTTCTGCGAGAGATCAGGAACATCGCACACTACCAAATGCACCGGACGTGTCGGAGCAATAGGCTGCATCCCGGCGGCCTGTCCCGATTGCCCAGGCCCAGTAGTCACGGCCGCGGTGGTAGGCAAATTGGTTGCGACCGTGTGCACGAGTACATTCGAAAGACGGGAAACGACGTTTTGCAAACATCATTTCGACCACTTTGCTGATCTGAGACATCAAACGGATCCCACTGTTGCTTCCAGCATTCGACTTCGTCTTGCGCTTCAAAAGAAACAAGTGAAGCGTCCAAGGCAAAGGCAACGACCACATTGAAAAACAAGCCGAGCAATCATGGACAGGGATGCTGACAGCTCATGGGCACGATTCTTGAATCGCCTCACTGAAACGGCATCCGGGCCAGAGCTGGAATCCTCCTGTAACCATCGGAAAATTTGCAAAGCGTCTCGGCGACGTATTGTGCTGAAATTCGACACGGTGTGGTTCACGTCATCATTGATCTCGGAATGCGCATGTAAGCACGCATCGGGTAAGCCGAGCTTTCTCTGAAAGTACTTGCGAATAAGTCAGCCTTATGTTTTGGTTCCAGAGCCCACGTCCCAGCTGAGGACAACGATGGCGGAACGTAGCGACGAAAGTTCCGAGCGCGAGTCAAGAGGGGATCGCAAAAGCACCACCATCTCTTGCGCAAGAGGGGCGTAATTTTTCTATTCGTCGCTGGGTGCGGGAGGTGTGCAACCGATACTCGCGACGCAGGCCCTCTGAGCACTCGTCGTCGGGTCTCGTGCTCAGGCGTGCCGCGGGCGTCCATGTTTGCTCCTGTGCGTTTGAAGCATTTGGCATTCAGCAAAGGGTGCGTGGACTTGCGGGCGGTCGCTCTGAAGGTCGGGATGAAACGCCTGGCAGCGTTCAGGAACAACGTGGTGAAATTCAAGACTGCCGCGGTGGGATCGTACCAAAAGAACACGGAGCGCCACTCACCAACATTAAGGGCACTGCGGAGACCATTCCAGTCAGGTTTCTTGAATAACCATTGTTCCCGCTTGATCGGAAGAGAACAACAAACACGCATAGCGACATTCACGTGGACGAGACTGATCGTGGATGGGCGCGCGGAACGTGCAAGCGACACCAGATGTGCTATCCGACAGTACAACATCGAGCAACCAGTTGCCGTGAGTGGGCTTGCCCACCGTCTCGAGCATACCCTCAGCGCCGAGGCCGGGGGGGGGAGTGAGAACGGGCGGGCGTTCTCAGAAGGCTCGGAAGTCCCCCGGCCTTCCAAGAAATTTCCTAAGCCTTCCCCGAAGGCAAAGAACCCCCCCAGAAGACCGGAGCGCCTCTGAGAAGTCCCGCCGCCTTCTGACGAGGCCTTCTCCTTCTCGCTTCCTCCCTCGCGCGCCGCCGTGTGCCTATGCCAGAGCACACCGCAAACAGCCCTCCTGGGCCGATCCTGGAGCCCCTCGATCAAGCACGGAGAAAGCTCCAGCTGGCGTCTCCTCCTTCCTCGGAGGCGGGCACGTCGTGTCTTAGGGAAGAGGAGGAGGACGAGGAGGAGGAGGCCGAGGAGGAGGAGGGCCCTCCTGGGGCGCTCTCGAGAGCCTCTCGAGCCTTATCTGGGCCGTCTTGAGGGCATGTTGGGCCCATCTTTGGGAGCTATTCGTCGACGGCGCGCCCGGGGGGGAAGCGAGAAGGGGCGGGCCTTCTCAGAAGGCTCGAGGTTTTTTATATTTTTTTTTTTTTGGGGGGGGGGGTTGGGGTGGGGTTAAGTTTTTTGTTTGTTTTTTTGAAGTGTTCTAAGCCTTCCCCGAGGGCACAGAAAACTTCTTGGAAGGCCGGAGGATTTCTGAGAAGTCCGGCCGCCTTCTGAGAGGGTCTTCTTCTTCTCAATTCCCCCCTTGCTCGCCTCCGAATCGGGTCATCTTGGGGCCATCTGGAGGCCGCAGAAGCCCATCGGAGGCGAACAGAGGAGAGGCGAAGCAACACGGGTTTTCCTTGGGTGATTGTTGGATTTGGGCCTGTTCGGATTTTCCATTGGGGGCTTCGACGACACTTGGGGCCGTCTTGTGGCCTTTTTGGGACTGTTCGGAGGTAAGTCGGAAGCTATCTTGAACCAGCTTCGCCTATCTTGAGCCGTCTTGAAGGCCGTTTTGGAGTGTCGGAGCCTCTTTCTGAGATATCTTGGACTACTCGGGGCGGTCTAACCCCTCCGTATGCGACCCGAACCAGCTCACGTAGGGAGGGGGGAGAGAGGTCACCCAGAATAGGATTTTGGAAGAGGAAAGCACGAGTTCGTTAGACCACTTACGCACAGCGGGCGGGTGGGATCTTGCTTTTCTGCCGGCGGCGCGACCTTCGAATGGCATCAGAAAGTGGATGGTCAAGGGACGTGGTATTTGACGAAACAGGGGGGATAGGGACAGTTAGATCTCGTTCCGGGAACTTGCCGGGGCCCATATCGTGGATATGTTTGACCCTAATTCGACTCTTCTTCGGCACCAGCTCAACTCAAGTGCGACTCAAGTTCGGCTCAAGTCGACGGACGTTCGTCGCAGCGTGAACGGGTGGCTCCAGGAAGATCCCCGGAGCGTTTCTGTTCTCGTTTTGGCTCAGGAGTTGTGGTCGTCACGACAAGTCGGTCTTCTTTTCGCAAGCTGGTGCACGAGCATCTGTAACCTAACGACACAGGAGATTGTGTTTTGGGTGAGCCCGTGCCGTCCCTTGGCACGGAACGTACGCGGGGGGTGGATGTGGGGCCCGACGCCCCCCTACAGACGTGGCGCAGTATTCTAGGCTTCCTAGATGGGGTCGGAGTAGATCATCTACTCCGACACCATCTACTAGATGGGGTCGGAGGATCGCGTCGCATCGCCGATGCCTCGCCGATGCGGCTCGATGCGGAGCCCGATTTGCTTCACGTCGACGTCGCCGATGCATCGCTGACGTCGACGATCCTTCGCCTGTGCATCGCCGATGCATCGCCGATGCATCGCCGCTGCATCGTCGATGTTTCGGCGATGCGGCGCGATCCTCCGATCCCATCTGCTCCGACCCCATCTAGGAAGCCTCTAAGTATTCACCTGGCACTATTGCTACTGCCATCACGACTGCCACTGCCATGGCCGCGCCCGCCACGTTACCGTTACCCCGCCACGCGGGCCCGACCCTTTTTCTCGAAGGAGAGAATACGCCATAAGCATAAGTTGTTGGCGCTCCGTGCTGATTTCTTGGATCCGCGCTGGCCCCCCGGGCGGCGCCCGCGCTGCCCCTGCCGCGCTCCGCGCGCAAAGGAGGGCGTTCCACTGCAGATCCACGCAATCCGCGCGGAGCGCCAAAAATGTATGTATTTTTTGTTTGTTAGTTGTCGTTTTTATTTTTCCCTACCTAGGCTCTGCCTAGAAGGGTTCTTACTCTCTTTGCTTAAAGGGGCTGGGCAGTGTAACCCGCCCCCGGCGGTTCCCCCAGCATCCGCCCCGCGGTTCCCCCAGTTACGTCCCCTTAGCTTAGCGTTGTTTATCTCATCTTAGTTGAGTTTATTCCATCTTAGCTTAGCTTAACGTCATCTTAGCTCAATTGTATCTTAGCTTAGCTTACCTTCATCTTAGCTTCGCTGAGCTTTAGCATAGCAGAGCACAGCATAGCATAGCATAGCGTAGCATAGCATAGCGCAGCATAGCATATCGTAGCATCGCCCATCATAGCATAGCAGAGCATAGCGCATCATATCATAGCATATCATAGCATAGCATATCATATGATAACATATCGCAGCTTAGCATAACATAGCATAGCATATCATAGCTTAGCATAGCACAGCGCAGCATGACATATCATAGCTTATCATAGCATAACACAGCATATCATAGCATAGCCGAGCATATCATAGCATAGCATAGCATAGCATAGCGCAGCATAGCATGGCATAGCATAGCATAGCAACTAATGCTGCTTTCCTTGGGGCTCCAACTTCTAGGTAGGGTCGCCCTGGGATAATTTCCTTCTCTGTATAAACATAATCTCCTGAGCCCACGCAATGCAGTGTCAGGACGCCTGCGTGGCCGTGGCGTGTGACACGGCCGACGCCTGCGCCGGCCCAGCGGTTTCGACTCTGGAGGAGGCAGCGTGGTCGGAGGCCCCAACGGCGCCCTTCTTCTCTGCGGAGCCCCTTGTCGAGCACTCAGGTTCATTCACGGGTAAGACGCCCATCAATTTGTCGCCGCAGCTCGTTTGTTTGTTGGGCGGGGATTTCTCGTTCATGTGCACCGCGAGGATGGACGGCGTCGGCCCGTGGAGCCGCATCTTCGACTTCTCCCTTGACGCGGACGAGGACAGCATCACAGCGGGGGCCATCGAGTTTACTCAAGACTTTCACTTCACCGTCTTCCGGGGCAAGAAGCCAGTCAGCGTGCGCGTGAATGGTTTGTTCAAGCTCGGGGAGGAGTTCACCGTGCTGTGCACCGTTTCGGCCGCTGGGCACATGAAGGTGTTCAAGGACGGCGTGCTCGTGGGCGAGAAGACGGACGGGATGGCACCGCTACACGTGGACAGACCGCGCATGATGGTCGGCGGCCACTACCTGTTCAATGATCAGTACTTCCGTGGTAGCTTGAGAGACGTGAAGGTTTGGAGCCGAGAGGTCCCCTGGGAGGCGCCGCCAGCGTCGAAGGTGCCAGGCGAGGACGCGGAGCTCTCGGACCCGGAGGCCGAGGCGCCTCTCTCGAGGGGCGGCGAAGGGCTTGCTCGGCAGCTCGGTGCAGGTGCCGCACCTGCAGAGGGCAGCGGGGGCGTTCCCCTTGCGACCGCCTGAGGGGACCCGTGTCTGGGCATGATCGTCCAAGCTCGTTGTGGGGATTCTTGGACGTGGTCAGCCCTTTCGGCCATCCTGACGCCCTGTCCGCATAGGCCAGTGTCACACGTCTGAGCCACGTGGGGGATGGTTTTGGGGAGGGAGGGAGGGGGGATGCTCTCAGGATGAAGCACGTTCCCGCACGTGCATATAGTAAGTACGCGCATCATTTACTTCTTTCCTTCATATTCTATCTTAAGCTTGGAGAGACATCGCTGGACATTGGTCGGTTGATGTTCATTTCCGATCTTCGGTAGCAGTGTACGCAAGAGAGCGAATGTTACGTCGGCACACCTGCATGGCGCCGCGTGATTGCACCTGTCGCAGTGTGTTCTCACACTGTGGCCACACTGTGGCCACTGTATGAAACTCTGTATTAGTTGAGCTCTCGCGTGCAAATGCGTGCAGTCCAATCGATTTGGATTTGGGCGTCTTTTAAGTTGGTCTGTTGAGACACATCTGGCATCGCTGCATTTGGTGACGTGCCTTCCTGTTGTAATGCCTCGCGCTGTAAGCAACACACAAACATATATACATTTATGTATTAATGTAATGTAGTGTACTGTAATGTAATGTAATGTAATGTAATGTAATGTAATGTAATCTAATGTTCTGTATGCATGCATGCATGCATGCATGCATGCAGGTATGTATGCATGTACGTATGTATGTATGTAAGTATGTATGTATGTATGCATGCATGCATGCATGCATGCATGCAGGTATGTATGCATGTACGTATGTACGTATGTACGTATGTACGTATGTACGTATGTATGTATGTACGTACGTACGTACGTACGTACGTATGTATGTATGTATGTATGTATGTATGTATGTATGTATGTATGTATGTATGTATGTATGTATGTATGTATTTACGTATACACATATATATGTATGTATGTGTGTATGTTTGTATTGCATTGTATCATATATATATATATAGCCGCCATACTGGCTCAGAAGGTGCAGCCAGGCGGCCACCGATGTGCCCATGCGGCACGTCCGACCCACCTACCTAGACTCGCACTCGAGCCGCAGGTGGCCACGCGGGCGATGAGGACCGCCCTTCTGGCGGCGATCGCTCAGGGCGCGGCAGCGGGCGCAGCGGAGACGTCAGCAGCCACACGACGGACGGCATGGCGATTCCTGCACTACAACCCGCTGACGGCTCGCACAGCAGAGAGGCTAGACGACATCGAGAGTGCCTGTAAGAGCTATGACTTCGTAGGCCTCATCGGCACACAGCGCAAGTGCGACCTCCCGATCCAGCAGCAGCGATCGGGGGAGAGGTGGCGCATCGAGAGTGGTTGGAAAAGAGCAAGCTTCAGCAATAAGTCTGCGGGGTTGCTCTTCAGTTTCGGCAACAAGTTCAAACCCAGACACTTGCGGAGGGTGGTCACAAGCCCCGAGCAATGTGCAGGCAGAGGGCTTTCAGTCAGACTCGCTTCTCGGCAGTTCGACTTCACGATGATAGGCCTGTACATACCACCCCGACCGACGCGAGTGGAAACCAGATCGACATATGAGAAGTGCGCGGACATTATGATGGATTGGCCACAGGAACAGCTGCAGCAGGCCCCGAGCAGAAGCTCACCGACAATTTGCCTGGACTTGAACGACGGAATGGGAATGGTCGTGACAGAGAACGGCAAGAGCACGGAGTATCGGGACAGTCCAGCCTTGTACAAGCCAGGTGCGCGACGGGAACACTATGCAGGGAGACGGTTCAGAGAAATTCTGGAAGGACATCACCTGGTGGCAACTACAATGCAGAAGGCTGATGACACGTGGTATGGCAATGCGGACAACTCGTCGCTGGTGGATTACGTATGCTTCCCAGAGGCCCTGACAAGATGGGAGACCAGCTGCGGGACCTTGGCCCGCCTGGGCCGCTCGATACATCAGATACCGAGCAAGCAGCGACGCGACCATCTGCCAGTATATGTGAACTTACGCATGCCGACCATCAATGAGCTACGCAAGAATGATGCTACCCCTGCCTGGAGCGCAGAGGCGATGATGCAGGCGTACACGGGCACGGACATAGACACCAAACGCGCCTTCGTCGAGGATATGGAGGCGACGCTTGACCAGAATTGGGACGGGCTTTTGGATCTGGCAAACCGTGCGTCTGCAGATTTTTTGATGGAGAAATTAGAGCAGCTTATGGTTGAAGTTGGGCAGCAGTATTTCGCACGAGATCCTGAATGGGATGAACGCTACAAGGCACAGAGCGCATAATGATATTACTCAAAGCTCGGAGAGATTATCGGCTTCGACACGAAGAGCAATCAAACAAGGAAGAGGCCGAGATCATCGAGGGACTAAGCATATCAGCATATATGAAGAAACAACGGGGTTTGGAATGGAAAGTACACCAGGAAGAGCTACTGGATCAGATATGGGATTGTTGGCGAGTGCGTAACATGGCAGAAGTATATCGACTCTCGAGATTGCGAGTATGGGATATATAAGAGACATTTTTTGGCAGTAAAAGCGACGGGATTATCCGAGGAGAAGTGGGCTGACACGCCCAGGACCAGACGGTGGAATGCAGGCGACACAGATGCACGATTGGGACCAATGGCGCAGTGAACGTCAACCATAGGGCGCCGAGCCAGCAGTACTTGATGAACGACTACGGCGAGCTGCGGTTCGAGACCTTCGGCGGCTGGAGCGTTGGGTAAGAAGGGCCCCAAAAAGAAGAACACGACCTCCCTGGTCGGCCCCGCTGGAGCTCCGGGCCATCCTTCTGATCCCGAACCCAGAGGCTCACCCACAAAAAGGTCACAGAGGCTTAGGCGCCCCTTCTGATCCCGTGAGGGCCCCCCTGTTTCGAGCTGTCTTGGAGGGCGGACTTTTGCGAATTAGGCAGTCTGGTAGAACTCCTAGTTACTGGCATCTGAGTAAAGGCGCCCCCCCCCCCCCAAGTCCAAAGAGGCTAGGTCTGGGGGGGGGGGGGGGCGGCTGGAATAACAAAAGAAGAAACAAAACAAACTAGGACTGTCCATTTACTTGCACCCCATCGGGAAGGGATGGTACGCTATTCAGAGCGTCGCTCCCCGCATGCAGGTACAGGTGCATGGCTTTTTTCGAGGGTCGTTCGAAAGAGGCGGCGGTAACGGTTGCGCAGTGCACGACGTGGCGCGCGCGCAGACAAGGACGCACGAGTGTCACACACCTGCGCGATTTAAGTAATGCGTTTGGTCGTGTCTCCGGGTCAGAGTTTGATGATGTCCAATCGGACCTCGTGCTTGACGAGCTAGAGCAATTCGGACGCCAGCGCTACCGCGAGGCAGCGGTGCAGCTGCCCAGTGTGGAAGGCAAGGTGATGTTTCGGATCGGCTGTGGGGCCTTCGGGGGGCCCGTGCGTTGTTCGCTTTTGCCTCCTTGCCTTCCAACGAGGGGTGAACGTCTGGCAACATCAGGTGATGCAGACTGGCAGTGATGTAGGTAATTGTAAAGCCGAGAGTCCCTTCCCACAGAGGGAGGTGGACTTGTCCCTATGCCAGTGTGTCAGTCCGTTGCTGAGGACACCGAATCAATATATTCTTTCGCCCAGCGCAGTTTCTAGAAAACAGTACTCTGGGCGCGGCTCTGGAGACGATGAGCTGTAGACAGAATCGGGGCAAGCAAGATATTTACCAGCTTGTGCTGGGCGCGGCTCGAATAACGATGCTCGGGACATCCGCTCAGGTAGGGTCCGTCTGTTGGCCCAGTTTCAACCTCGCGCCCGATATCTAGGAGCCCAGTTACATATACATGGCAAGTTTGGGGAAGAGTTTTTAAAAAACGGCGAAAGGCAGTCGAACAATCATATTTTGCTCTAGGTAGGTTTTGGAGTTTGAAGCGCGCGCCCTGGAAAGTCCGTCGAGGCCTGCTGATATGCTGTGTACAAAACGCAGCACTGACAGGCGACGAGGCTTTTTTCCTCACAGAGGCCAACTGGCAGGAGCTAGACAAGCTCGTGGCCAGATGCGCAGGGAGGGCGATGCGAGGCGCAGCTCGCTCGATCGCGACAACGGCGGAGGGCGAGCAAAAGCATAAACACACTTCGACAGGAGAGGTATTGAAGCACTGGGGGATGGCCCCATGCAAGCTGGAGGCCAGAGTACGGCGACTAAAACGATTGCAGAGAATCGCAAGTAGACCCCACCATCGCGATCGGGAGCTTACTGCGATATTCGGTAAGTACCGATTCGAGCGATGCGCGACGATCGGGGGGGGGGGGGGGGGGGGGGGGCGACTTGAAGATAGGAGACCAGGTCAACCCATGGGCCAGGAGGGTGAATGAGGATATTTTAGAAGGATTGGAGGCGATGGGGGGCGACATAGCATGGCTGAAGGAGGAGTTGAGCGAGGGCTTCCTGAGGCTCTTCGGAGACCCCGACTTGGCTGAGGAGTTCGGGGCGCTCGATTTTGGGCGACTGCGAGAAGGAGCTTGTGCTTGTGCCGTTCCCCCTTCCTGGATGGTCCTCGACTCAGGACCCAGTGGCAGGTGCTGTCGCCGAACCCGAACAGAAAGTAGAACCGACGTGGGTGTGTGGATGTGAGAAGGAGGACGGTAGCTACTGCCAGGAAGCCTTCACAACATTCAAGTCGGCCAACCAACATCGCCTTCGAAAACAAGGCCTTCGAGATCCCTGGACATGTACAGTGATCACAAATACTTGTCCCTGGTGCCTGGGGGTGTACGGCTCGGCGGTGGCGGCGCAACAACACGTGGCCCAGAGCGTTCGGAGGGGAGGAGTCTGCAAATGCCGATCACCATACCTTGGAGGACGGTTCACATCCTGAACTTCGCACGTGCCATCTCTGTAGCCAGGGATGCTCGAGCTTTGAGGAGCTGCAGCAGCGCCTCCAGGAGCACGCGCCGCCCCTCGACCTATTGTGCAACGACGCTCAGGGTGGAGCTCGAGCCCGCCAGGTTCGCGCTCGAGCAAAAGCAACAGACAGAGGGTGCCGAGGGGGCGTCGCAGGCCAAGAAGCACCTCACAGTGGAGGCGTTGCCGCAAGGCGGCAACGGCAAGGACGACAGCGTTCTCGCTCGCCTCGTCGCAGTGCTGGCCAGGCTGGCGCTAACCAGCGCAGCCGAACTACGGGACATCGCTGGCATGGTGTTCATCGCGCTGCTCATGCCCATCGAGGGCGCCGTCGCCAAAGCCACGAAGGCCGCAGGCGCCGCGTGCCACGAGACGGTGCAGGCACTCAAGAAGAGCAACGACGAGAGGGGCCTCGAGGAGCTCGGCCCACCGTGCGTCCACATCTTCATGGCAATGGTGATGGGCATCAACCAAGTGGCGTGCGAGCAGACGAGCAAGGAGATCATCTACCAGTTCTGGATGGCGCACATCAAGGACAAGGGAGCGCAGGAGGTCCAGGAGTCGGTGATGCATTGCAAGTGCCGCCCAAAGAAGCCGAAGGAGAACAAGCCAGGCATGGTGAAGCTGAGCCTTGCCCTCAACAGCAAGCACGCGGCGGTGCAGGACGCGCTGGTGGTAGAGCTGCGCCGCAGGAAC